AGATTTCCCCAAATTTCCCGCCACATCCAGCGCTTGCGCCCGAGGCAACAAAACAACAGCACACGATCTACGGAGGATCGCCAACTATCAGAAGCCAGTCCAAGAGGTGCCGCCCAATTTATTGCTGCACCTTTTTTAGATTATGCAGCGAATTCACGCTTATTTTTATATCCATAACTCACGCTTAGAAAATTATTACACTGCTTAACATGTCACATCTTTTCAAACTGGCAAATTTTGTATTCTGAAACTACTTTTCGTTAATCAATTCTTACATGAAGTGACTGCTTATGAAAATATTTAAGAACTATTTCTATTTACATCATGTTATTGATTTTAAAACTCCTCATGTAAAACAGCATCTGGAGGTTTTCGAATATTAGGTTAAATGTGATGTTAGTTTTATGCATTGTCTAAATTCTATAATTAAACACTTATTCATCAAATTCAACTGCAATAAAAATTTTACTAAATTACAGTGAAAGCTCGGTTCACGAATATGATTTACCATGGAGAATGTTCGTCATCCGCAATATTCATTACCCGTAAGAATTTTTCTCGCAGAAATTAATGCAAAATAAGCTAGTCCATTTCTAAAGCACAGATAATTTCTCATTTAAACTTATAAAACTATTTATTACACATGTTCATAACACAAAATTAACGAAAACATTAGTCAAGCTAAACATAGCATTCAGCAGATAAAATAAGACGAACTTTAATTTTACTACAGCACTGCGCGAGCACGAAGGAGAATGGACAATGTGAGCAGAAAGTGATAAGAAAGAAAAGTTTTGTTTACATGAAAAATTCACTTCTGTAAAAATGTCAGGAACTGTCTTTATGGAGCATTTTCTATAACATGCTGCTTGTCTCTTAGCGGTAATCAATTCTGTTTGAGTTTCCGTTTAATTCAAGATTTGTCCAAAGGTTTTTGTTACTGTCTGGGTTTAAAAATACTTCTAATGAGATATGGCATTGTCATTTGAAAGGCTTCTGGTTTAGCTTGCTACTTCTTTTTCAGGGTGATATTTGTAAATTAAAACTTTAAACCTTGCCTTATTTTGTATAAATTCTGTAAATAAAAACTAGGATCATCGTTACTTCCTTTCTCTTCTTCTGAAGGAATTTCTTCTACAGTCATCTTTTGTTACAGCTTCTGAAATTGCTCCTGCTCTTTTTGAGCTCATTGCTTACCTAATAGTTCTTCTATGTCTTCACTGTTAATTTACAAGCCCATGGTTTTACAAAGACGCCTAGCATCCTAGATAACAACAACGTCAAAAGAAAAAAATCCATTATGTCAAAGCCTTCCGAGTCCCTGCCAGCAATATATTCTAGTCATAATTTTACCCAGTTCAAACTCTTGGTCTTGTGAATTCGTTAATGAGAATTAGGTGAATAAAATATTAAAATGGTGTTTCCAGAAGTCTGCGTGTTAGGTCTTGTCAGATATGATTTGAAAATCGTTTGTTGCCAAGTGCTCGTAATTCTAAACGCCATTCATCGCCCGAGACTTTTTATGTTTAGATAATTTGTTCGTGGCGAGAGGTGTTTGTGATTCGAAGTTCTACTCCAGTGACGTTTCAGTTTAACTCCAATTGAGGTAGAGGAAAAATATAACTACTCTTAGAGAAACTATTTCACAGTTTTTCGAAACGTTTCTCTTCCAAAACACCCACACCTGATATTTATTCTTATATTTCAGATATCATCAATTTAAAATAGAAATTAACTAAACTGAAAATAATTAAGTAATCAGCAGTAATAATCATTAAGTAATTATTTTAATACTAACAGTTAATCACGGAAATTAAAACAATTATTAAAGCACTATTTTAAGTCTAGTAGAAATTCACCACACTCAAAATATTTAACATTAATGCCGGATAAAATCAATAACTGCAAAAAATAAACGAAGTAATGTTTTAACGCAAACAAAGTCATTACATTTAATAATTACAAATTAATTACTTTAATGCTAATATAAAATACTAAATTCAGAATACTTACTGAAGAATTATTTAATTTCAACAGAAATTTAGTAAACTGAAAAAATTATTAAAGCGTATTTTGAATTTAATACTTTATTGTCTCATGTTAAAAAAATGAAATGAATCCGATGTTTTTAAGAAACGAACGCTTCCAAGAAATTAATAAGAAATATATTGACTTTCTGGCGGAAAGGAAAAGATTTTAAGAACCAACTGTACTGAAATAATTTTAAAAAAATTGTTTTTATATGTACAACATGAATAAAAATTAAAATTTTTTAAGTAGTCTTAATTGAAAATGCTAGCTAAAAACACTTAAATTCATAAAATTTGTCATGGTGTTTTAGATTTACATATTGGAATATGAAATCGAATATGTATATACTCGTATATGAAACAAAAGAAAAATTTCATAAACTATAAATTTTCAATAGCATATTTTAAAAACAAAATTGATATTATGAATCCTTAAAAAGTATTGCTGTTTTAAATCGAATCTTTTTTTTTTAATTCAAATTTTAAAAAAATGTAACTTTGTAGCCAAGGAATTCAGCAATTAAAATGAATTGAATTCCTTTTAGTTCTAATTTTGAGCATATAAGTGGCCTGCTATTATTCTTTTTGCATCATTTGCAAAGACCTGTTCTTTTGAAAATATAAAATTATGCTTATTTGTTAAATTAGTTTTTTCAATTTATTTCAATTGTTCGTATGTTTGCATTTCATCAGAAAAATATCTCAATAATTTAAAATCATATTTTTATCCTATAAATTTATAATTAGGAATCAAAAAAATGTAAGCTCATACCTTAAATCAAATGAAAGCTACTTTCAATAATAGCAATTTTTTTAAAAAAATAGTATAAACACTTTTAGCAAAACCAATAAATTTTGAATTAATTCAACATGAATTTGAATAAAATTTTGAGAATTTTGATATTCTATATAGTGATAAATCTTTATAAATATTTTCCATAATACATTTCTTCTGTTTCTTTGTTAGGAAAAAAAATAAAATAATACCTTAAAGTATATTATAAAGTATCCATCTTATTAAGTTCGTTTTTAATTTTATTCCAAGCAAATCAGGAAGACGTTTAAGAATTCTTTTATTGTAATACAAGTACATAAGATATTGTTCTACTTCACTTTCTTCATATGATGCGGAATTTATTAAAAAAATTGGTTATTTTTAATCATTTCAGTAGCTATTTTAAGATAATGCCATTGGGTTTATATCGTTTTTTCAAATGCAAGTAATCATAGCTTAATTTTTGTTGTTAACCTTTAAATTAACATGTTTAAATATTTGTTCTTAACATAATTTAAATTATTAACTTGCGAAGTAATACAGAGACTAATTTTTGTTCGCTAAATTTTTAGACGATTATCATTGCAGTTACAGAAATATTTTACCTATAATTTTTGTGTTTTAAATGTTCGGTTTGACAACCCTTATTCTTTACTATCTTTATAAGCCTTCTGTAGTACCGGAAGATGTATTTTATCCTATTACTCTCGAAGAGCGTTTTGAAGTCTAAGGAGGTTGTAGTTGACGTTTGGATAACACGGTTTTTTAAAGTTCAAACATGAAAAAATACATTGGTGATAGATCAGGGTATTTAGTAAGGATATGAGTGAAGGGTATAGAAAAAATTGGAATAAGAAACGGGTATCAACCCGTTTCTTATTCCAATTTTTCCAGGAAATTAACAGTAGAGTTTTGACGTGTCGCTGTTTGCTTTGTCATGATGCAGTTCTACTGATTGATCACACTGTGTGTAAAGAGAAAATATTTCATATTTGCAAATTGAACTAAAATATGTTTTTGATAATATGTGGAGTTGATCTTAGCATTTTCCTCCACTATTTTATTTTTAATTTGCTTTCATATGAAAAACTAGCAACAATCATATTTTTAATTTGCTTTCATATGAAAAACTAGGAACAATCATCAATCCCTTACTAAAATATTTATTTAGACTCTTTGAACCATGTTTTAAGGGTTTTTTTAGCTTTGATTGTATTAAATGATCTCGTTTTATTACAGTCATTCAAATACTTTCGAGATTCGTCTGTTGTGAGAATATATTTTTCCATTTTTATCCGGATTAATGTTTCTCATAAACAGTTCTTTAGCGTGTTCTGCGTTCGACAATATGTCGTGGAGAAAGACGATGATGCACATTATGTTTTTTTCGCCTTTTTAAAGTTCAAATTAGCATTAATCACTTTGTTTACAGTTGTAATTGAGCATTTTAATGATTTTGCAGCTGTTCTTTGCTTCCAGTATTTATCTTTTAACATTAAAGACTTTACTCTTGCAACATTCGAAACATTCTGTTTTGCCTTGGATAAGTATTTGGAACAATTTTTCCAATTGAATCTAAATTTTGACGTTTCGTTTCTTTGATGGTGACAACATTGCCTATCCAGTTTTAGATATCCTAAAACCATGCTTCCACGTCGTTTTTTAATATGCAGATAGAAATAATTTTCTTCGCAATGAACACAAACATAGCTTTCCATCCATTGCTTCTTCAAAAGCGACATTTTACATGAAAACAAAACTGTCAAGTAGCAAACGATAATTTATACTTTCAAACATTTCTTTGCGGTTAACCACAAAATCCAAGCAGATTTTTTTTACAGCAAAGCAAAATCCTCTAATAAATGTGCGAAAATCCTTTGTATTTTTCTATTCTTATTCTACAAGATTTCTTTTGCATTATTAATAAATCTTTGCTAATCACAGATTCAACGTTTAAATGAAGTAAACGATACTGCTTAGATTTCTTTTAAATCATTGATTTTTCCATTAATTCTTTGACCAAGACCGAGTGCATGAAATAATTGATCAGTAAATAGTGGCTCTTTCCGTTTTTGAATTCCAACTAACAAAGTAATGTGTGTCTTCATTGGGTAACGTAATGTATCCCTAAAAAAGACAAGCCTCATCCACTTTGCGATATTCAATAAGATAAAAATTCCTTCCAATAAAATAAATTAATATCTTTATATAATTAATTAAATTAGTAGACATATAAATGTGCTTTCCGTAATTTCAATTTATATTTTTAAAAATCTATTCTTTACCAGCCTGCATGATATA